ATAAATGGTAAAGATGACCAATATCAAAAAATACACTATAAGTTGCAAGGTAACAACAAAAAAACGTTGCAATTTTCATGTCTCCTCAGCGCAGGTTTTTGGAAGCTGTATACTTGAGTTTATATTGACAACATATCAAAAAATCAGAGCTACATCATGCCTTGTGATTTTACGATTAGCCTACTTTATGTATGATTCTACTGGCTTACGTAACAAGCAAAATAAATAAATTATACTATTATTTATAAAATAAAACAGTAAATTATGATTACAGTTATAAGAGCTTATAATACCCTCTAACAAAAAGCTAAGCTAAAAAATATTAATTTGTAGAGTATAATTTAGCTCAGTTATGGCAGCTCTATTTTACACCTTTTTAATGCTTAATGAGATAAGAAAGCTGTTATTAAATTATTTTGATTATTAGTTACAGTCTTCTTGACTTTTAACATTACACTAAGTATATAGCTAGCAAGAAGAACAAGGGGATGACATTTAAAGCTACTCATATTCATTGGATACGTAATGTTAAATATTTAAATATATACGATAAACATGTATGAGAAGTTACAATTACTTCGAAAATATGGGAAAATATTAATAAAAAAAGATACAGTGAAGGAATTTGCTGCAAAAAGGCTACTTAACACATTCTACTAATTATCTGAAATGGTTTTCTTAAAAAAAATAAAATCTGTTATTTGTAACTTCCCTTAGATGTTCACCTTACTGTAAAGCAAACCAATGCGGAATTGCTTAATTATTATAACATTTACTAAGCTACTAAAACATCACATACAGCTTTTCTTCAAGCATCATAATAAATAACTTAAGCTTAGTGTACGTAATAGTACTTATTATAATATTCGATTAGGCATTTCTGTGCTTCTTTTGTATAATAATAATCATTATAATGACATCAATCTCTACCACTATTATGCATCTAATTTAAATTACTAACTCACTCTAAAATCACTATAACTTAATACTTCTTGTTCCTGTAATCACCAAATTGTAAACAATCATTCTTAATTATCAACCAATAAAAAAATGAAATAGAGATCATTAAAATTTCAAAAGATTAAGTTACTATTAGCTTTACTGTAAAACAGAACTTCACAGGAATAAAAAATTAAAGCGTAATAACAATATAAAAATAATTTGAATACTTTTTTTTAATGACAATGGTAGTAACGTTTTACAGTGTATATTGTGTAAGATTTTTATTAGATATTAATTAAATAAGTAATAAATTTCAGTACCTTTTATAAATTCAATAAATCCTTCACGCAAATTTTTAATCCTCTAAAAATAAGCTGAAGAATAAAAAAATACATTAATGAAAACCTACTTAAAATGAATATGTTATTACCAATGTCATTTTTTAAATAGCATGTAAAATCAACTTAAAGGCTAAGAAAAAGTAGTCAAGTATGTAACAAATAAAGTAAAATAAATTGCATTGCAACCTAACTAAATTATTAAAAATGTTTGTATGTTTAACGATAAAATTTTACTTCCGTTTCAACGCAGTCTTTCATCAGTTCGTCCATTTCAGCTAAATTGTCGCCTATGTTTTCTATTACATCGTTCAACTCTTTTACGCAGTTCTCTTCCATATTTCTCAGTAATTTTTGAACCTGTTCATCACCCTTTTCAGCAGTTCGCTCGTGAAGAGTGTACAAGGTGTGAGGACTATTTTTCTAAATAAATGTATAAATGAGATAATATCGTGTGTAAAAAAAATCTGAAAAAGTTAGGCACAGCAAAACAAAAAGTAGAATTGTGTAAAATCAATGAAAATAAAAGTCAGAAATTGAAGGCAAATGTAATAGGCAATCAATTTATATGCATTAAAAATATATGCTTCAAAAATATAAAACACTAACACATATTCACTAAAAGTGACAGCATAATAATTCCCAAGATTTTTTTTAAAAAGAATTAGAAATTGTTCTTTACTCATATTTACTTATTGATGAATTAATTAATTTAGGGTTTCCATTATGCAATATACTACCGCTAGTCTACTGTTAATGAGAAAGGAAAATACCTTGTCATTTTAAGGGGAAATTAAATTAAAAAAAGTACAGAAATAAATTATTTTATACAAATTAAATGTAGGTAGATTTTTTAAATGTAGTTGTATAAAATACGAAAAAAGACTAAATATCATAAAAACTTACCCTTTCTTCTGGACATATAGTATGTTTAGAAATAATAGCATTTGGAGTGAATATGAAGGGTTTATAAACTGATATTGAAGGATCGGGGGTGGCGGTAAACCAGTGAACACTCGGTCTAGTAGAACTTAACACAGAAACCTTTAAACTGAATCCATTAAGAATAAAATTCATTAAAGCAAGATTGAGTATTACCTGGCTACCCTGTGTTGGAAAAGGACTATCACAAGGTCTACATATCCCTGATTGTCTATCCCTTAAGATGTTAAACATATCTACTTCTTTAAAATCATTAGTTTCTGTATATTTTTTTAATAATTTTTGACCCTCAATGTAACGATCACTCCCTGGTACCTTTTCACCACCAAATACTTCAGAAAAATTAAATTCATCCTAACAAAAAAAAAGTAAGACATTTTTTACTCAAAATATGCTTCTAAAATACCTCTCCATTCCAAAATCCTTGTGCCTTGGCATAGTCAAACAAATCTTTGGAATGCCTATCAAATTTGGTAGTTATTGATAAACCATTAGAAATATTCCTACACCCACCTAAAATATATATGTATAGTACATATGTTTTTCATATTCCAAGTAAATAAACAGTTCAGTTATGTTTAAAAGGTAAGAATTATTCCAAAAAAAAAAAAACACGCTTATAATTCAAAAAAGAAGTATTCAATTCAAGGTTTTGTATGTATTGTTTCACTCCTGAATTACGTTTTAGAATTTTTTTACTACAAATCATTTTGTGACGAATTACATTGTCTATAAAACTGATCCGTGTGTCAACAAAGTAAACACTAAATTTTTTGATATACATATAAACTTTGGAAATGAAAAATTAAGAAGTCATTATTACACATAAATATCAGCTAAAATATTGACAATACAAGAAAAACCTTTCAAGATAATTTAATTCTATATAAAATTCCTCAGACAATTGTTAGTTTTACGTTTTTTTTTATCAATGGTTTCCAAAATACACATTTTTTAGGCATTTATAATAAAACAGAGTTAAAAATAATGACCCTTTGAGCAAATTTAAAAAGAGCCTTACTCGAGATCTGTTCCGCTACCCACTGCTTTCCAGATGTCTCTAAAATCCAAGCAGTAGAAGAATCAGCAATTAGAAAAGAATTATGGTAACTTAAACCAGAATCTTCCTCAGCACAAGGACCACCCTGTCCATATTTCTCTAACAAATTAGTAATAATTTCTAAGGCTTCTGTTGCTGAAGAACTTTGTTCCAATCCCAATCTACAAATAAAAAGCAATATAGATATAATGTATAATTTGCTGAAATTGAAACACGAAAAACAAATTTTAAGTGGACAAAACATAACAAAAAAGTAGTGAGTGAAAAAGAGACCTTACTAAATCCATTCCTAATAGTCTTTTTACACTAGGATCATTTTCACCATTAGTATTATTTGTCCAAACTGCTTCATTACCAATAACAACTCCACACTCATTGGCCCCCATTTCTGCACCCCACATCCATGATGGTTTACTTAAAATAACAGCCTTTCTAGGTCCCGAATATTCCACTTCAATATAAGTGCACTACAAAAGAAATATATCTAAAATTAGTTTAATTTACAAGAGTCAAATTGCAACCTACTTTTATAACATTTGAACATTGTGAAGCTGGGAAATAGACAACTTCTTGAACTTCTCCCTTTGGTCTATCAGAATTTTTACCAAAAATCACACCATGCTTTGTCAAAGGGGGTAATGCAACAAAAGTGTCACACGATTGAGGAAGTTCCATCTGGAAGAGTGCCATACATGTTATATATCAATCTATAAGTTATATAAGTTCATTAAATAAATGCAACGAATTTTATGTTACTTTTGATAAATAATATAAGAATAGCATATAAGAAAATACTGCATTATGAAAGAAGACAAAGAAATATGCATGAAATGTGAAACATTATCTATACTTACTGTAGTAGGTGACTCCACAGACTTCTTAAATGAATACAAACGTTAATAATGTCCTAATATGAGAAAATACTCAAATAAATTACAATAAAGGCGTAGGTTATCAGTTTTCACCACTTTTGACATCCAGATTTCCAAATTCTGCTCTGGTACTCACTAAAAAGAGAAAGTATTATGAAACTACCTTTTACTTTCGGAAAAAACTTTTTTAAANTTGGTTGAAACACTTGCATGCCTAGATTTTAAAGCAATTTGGATTTTTAATAAATCATCATGTATAAAGAATCATCATAACCATGGGGTCCTCCAGTGCCGTATTTACGGGAGGGATGATGGAGGGGTGGGGTTGTATCACATCACTGATCCTTAAAGACAAGGCCTCGTTTTCAAAAACTATTTGTTTTATTTAAAAAAAGAATTAAATAATATTGAAAACTAAGCACTGTATAACTAAATGAATATTACAAATGAAACACTATATCTACTGTTATTGTCTAATCAAACTGATATTATAAATGCGAATGAGGGTCTGTTTGTTTGTTAGTTTGCTACCATTTCATGCTTTAACTGCTCGTCTACATATTGTCGGGGTACAGAAAAGGAGATAGAATACTTTTTATTCATAAAAAAACTACTGTTCCCGAGGGATAGAACAAATTAGTTTCATATGATCTTTGAGACGTATTTAGTACATCAACGCAAGCGAAACCGCGCTTAAAAAGTAACGTGAAGTTTTGTACACACATTGTCAAGGGTACAGAAAAGGACATAGGGTACCTTTTGTTCAGAAATGAATACCGTTCCCGAGGGATAGAAAATTTAGCTTTATGAGATCGTTGACGATCTTCGACACGTATTTGGCACAACGAGAGCGAAGCCACGTGTAAAGCCTAGGAATGGATAAATATAAGTTTATTTTATATGAACTGAGAGGATGAATACCGGCAGTTAGAGACCTTTTTTTTTAACTGTTATTGATAGAAAATAAACAGCCTTAAGAGGAGCGCCTCTCTTCAAATTTTAGATTTAGGCCTCGCCTAGTAGGGGTAGAAATTTTACATTTAAACATGTCCTTGGGTGCCTGAATACCTATCCAGATATTTGGATGTTCGAATTTCCTATTCAAATGTTTAGATGTTTGAATATCTGAATAAGTATCTAAATCTCAAATATTATAAATATTTAAATTATGGATATTTTTATATTAAAATCCTGTGAAAATTTCAGTTATTTTTATGATTTCGTAATGTTCGTATTAATTTCTACATTCTGTAAAAAACATATACATATGTATAAGTAAGCAATTAGGCAATATCCTTTTTATCATTTTTTTTAAGAAATGTTCTTTTAAAAACCTCTTGGGACGTTGAAAATTTTAAGATCTTTATCGACCTAATCTGTCTCAGGGATGAATTTGGAATAAATACTGAAATTTTTGTCAGTGCGCGACTCAAGATCATGGTTCATGAGATTCTAAACTACCTTTACATCTATTAAAATAAGTTGCCTGAGAAATT